CTCAAGCTCAGTGAGGAAAACGCCCTCATCGGCCGAGATCAGTATGCGGTGCCCACTGACCTGGGCTGACGCGCTGTCCACTCGCAAAGGACTGGCAGCCGGATACCATGAGAGCGGAGGCCCTGGGCAAGAAGCTAAGTTCAATAAGAAGATGCCTCACAGAAATAAGTGGAACTGCCAAAGCAAAAACTATGCGCACGGCGCTGCAATGACCCCTGGGGGGTCTCCTCCGAAGACATGATGGATATTCATTCGGGCTGACCCGACCTTTGTGTGGGGCCTTGGTGCCGCCAGGAGGCGCATAGGCAATAGGGGTACCCCATGTGAAAGTGCGCATCTGGCACGTACCTAAGCTTCGCTCTGAGCAAGAGCAAAAGTGCCACAAAACCAGCGTGTGTCAAACCATGAACGCCGCGTGCTGACATGACTTGAACCTGCCCAATGGAGCCAAGGAACGTCGTGACCAAACATTCGCCAGTGCGACCATCCCACAGCTTCACCACCGCCTCATCAACATGGGGACATCGTGGCTGCTTTGCTGAGTCACCCGCCTAGAACACATGAAACGATTCCAGCATAGACCCCGGATAGCAAGGAATTTCGCACAGCAGAGTGCATACTCGAGCACAGCACCTGCGACAGCACCCGCAACTCTCAGCCACCACCAGAAGCACCCTGCGCAGCACCATGCAGAAAGCACCCTGCGGCAGCATTCTCCAACAGCACCCGTCGCAACAGCACTCCGCAGTAGCACCTGCCAAACTCTTGGTCACAGCCTGCCCATCCCTGGCCAACAGAACCTTTCGCAATGGTACCACCTACATTTGGTCGCAACCCTCTCCCCCCTACTTCTGCATCCTTCGTTTTTGTTTGAAGGCTCGCCTTCGTTTTTGAGGGTTTTTGGTCATGCTATCCTGTAGTCTCCTCCCCACTTCTTCCGTAGTCTTCCAGTAATCTTCCCGTAGTCTGCCTGTAGTCTTCCGGTTGCTTCTCGCGCATAGTATTTCAAACGAGCCAATATTCACAAAACACTATTTCGCGCAAAAGGGATTTGCTAGGCTCGAATGCATATCCCCTGTACCAACCCTTTTGTGGTAGCTCAAGTGTCAAAGTCGAGAGCACATTCCGAGGTACATCCAAAGTGTCCACCGCATCTAATACGTCAGCAAGTTCAGAGCGGAAAGGTGCCATAGCTTTTCCCATTCATGGCAAGGCGCGTCCCTGGCAAGAGTAGCCAGAATCTCAGGATCTTGGGCATCAATAGCGATGATCTCCTCAGCAATGGACATTCCCAACCCAAAGTGGCCTGTACTTGCACACATGCTTTGAGTCGCTGGTGGCAACCGTCCAGGCATGTTGATACTGTTCCAAAACTTCCAAAGCTCGTCTCCCATCTCCCAAGCACCCCCACGAAATCAACAAGGATTCCGGATCATTTGATGAAGGTCCCGCATCAAAACCGTCTTACAGCTTACATTGGTGCTGTCCACATCTGCCGTGGCACTTTGAAGCCAGGACGTGACCCAATCTGCCAGCCAAGCTGCTGAACGGTGGCCCGTGATGGTCATCTTCAGCTCCTGAAGAATGAGAGCAGCTTCGGAAGGCTTATTCAGCAGTAAGGCGGGAAAGCTGCCTTGATGAAGTGCAATGGAAAAAGCACCTGTAGCTGAAGAGGACGAAGTGCAACCAACAAGCCATGTATTGCAGGATGGATGGCATTCAACGATACAAATCAAAGTGCAGATAGGACATGTTCGCCGTGGCGAAGGGAAGTGGTGATGCTTCATGCGTGCATGGTTCGCAGCGACGTGTAAAGGGAAAACCAATCATCAAGCAGGAGTACCGCCAAAATCTCCGCGGGTCCTTCTCATTGTAGTCGTAAATTAAAAGGCTCTGCCCCGCAGCGCAGGCCAAGTAGTTGGCCCCCCACCTGACTAGGACACTAATTGAGGGTTTTTTCTGGCTCTTTCTGGAATCCTCTGTAGCCTCCATGGGCCACTAGCTATGCATGCCATGCGTGCATGCATGCACGCTTCGAGGGGCTGAACTTGGACGAACAAAACTCTGGCCCAACTGATGGGAACCTAATATTGGACTGTCCTTCCTCTAGATCCAAGCCTGGTCCATTTGAACCATTTGAATGCATCCATGAATTGCGGCACGGCAAGTGATGAATGGTGTGTGTGTGTGGTATGCATGGAAAGCGTGCTATGGCAAGGAATGCTATGGCATGTGGGACATCTTTGGCACCGAGGGTCTCTGCCGCATAACTTTATGTGTGTGCGAATGTTTGTGCAAAGTGCTGGTGTGGAGGGCGGTGCTGGCGTCCCGCGGCCCTGCCAACAGCATGCCTGCTGCTTTGGCTTGTGAAATTCATTCCTACATCCTGGCATCCCGGGCGGACCGAAAGCTGACTCCCGCCCCCCAGGTGCACTTGGCTTGCGGCGACAAGCATAGGCGCACTTGTGCGTGAGAAAGGTTTCCGACACGCACTGCAACAAGGGGAGTCACATCCCTTGGTACTGTGTTGGCTCCATGAGCCAAGCCGCAGCTTGAGCAGCGTCACGCTGCTCGCCTTTGGCAGGTTGTCCAGCCTGAGCAACTCTCGAGTGCCAACAACCGAAGTTTACCGCATCCTTGTTAAGCAAATTGCAAATGACTCAAACAATCATTCCCTCCCACATGCCGAAGCAAAGCACTGCGCTGGCTGCAAGCAAGCGGCTCGATGTGCTCATTGCCTTTGGAGCGGACAGTGCAGCCAACCCAAGCTACCATGCTATCAGATTATGGCGCAGCCAAAACATCGTTAAACCAATCCCACCCACCCACAGGGACTCCTCTCAGTTAACTCTGCCCAAAAGAAGTACAATCTTTAGAAGCCCCTTTGAACATTCCCAAGGCACCCTCGAACTAGACTAGTTACCTCTCAATTTGTTGCTTAGAGCCTTAGATGTCATGCTTTGAAAAGCATGTATAAAAAGAGGGGTGCCCCAACGAGCTTGAATCATTTCCAGCCACTAGTTCTCACGAACCCAACCCAGAAAGTGATACTAAGTAAGAGCCACAAGATTTGCGAACAAGATTTACAATACAGACAGCGCACATAGACTAAGACAAAGCATCAAAACATCTGAAATCATGAACAACCAACCGCTGTCCAGGTTGCGCTCCAGCTGCACTACCCGCAGAAGCGGAGGCTTTGTTCCTCGAGACCGGTCCACCTGGGATCGAAAGAAAAGAATCGCTGCCCAGTTGCGGCCCAGTTTGCGGAATGCCTGCACATGCACAAAAAGCACAGGGTGACCAAGCGATCCTCGCTCTCAAGCCCCCGAAGCCAGAAGCTGTTGCCATTGCATAGGCTTGAAGCGTTCCCGGAAGCAAACCTGGCAGCTGAGGCCAGGACCAACACCAGGGACTCGCCATCGAAGTCGCCTTTGTTGCATGCTGCGTCCGTTCTTACAAGCAAAATGTCGAGGGCCGCTTGACCAAGTCCGATGCAATTCGAAAAGGCAGCAAGGCTCTCGCAATCCCAGTTTACGACGTGAGAAGCAGTACTTCCAAGGGCAGGCCAAACGCTCATGAGTCTCTGCTAAAACATGCTATTGAAGAGGAGCCCACTAAACAATCTTTTGTTTCTTCGAATTCCCCGGCTTCAGTTGAGCGGACACGGGATCACAACACCGCTCAGCGTTCACTCGTTCTGCTGCTTCTTTTTCTTTCTCTCTGACTCTCTGAGCGCCTCTTGCAGCTCAGGTTTAGCAGGTTGTGCGCAATCAATGCAAATTTCAAGCAGGCTGTCTGAAGAAGCCCTGATCATGCGCTGACAGAATTCCAATGAATTCCAATCATGCCAAGCAGCCCTGGTCATGCACTGCCTTCGCAACAGCACGGATGCACTTTCACTTCGCAGGACATAACTGCCTGGATGCGCCGTACGCTGCTTACTGCTGTTTTTGTTCAGAAAGGTCATGATTCGTTCCAATCAGCAGACAGGCAAACACTAAGAAATGCATTCCGCACCCCGGCAAATCCGACAAGGCAATGCCAGTCAAGGGCTCAAACAAACCAACTTCCGGGCTCCCTTCTGCCAGCACACGATAGACACTACTAGGTTCATGTTCTAGGCGCGTGCGCGAAGGTAGTTTTGAATCTATGCTGATTCAATTGTCAACCTGCCATTGAATTGTACATCCAATGGTGTTATGCTTTCACTTCTTGATTTGCGGAAGTCAGGTGGTTTCGAAGCTGTTCCCAATCATCATCAATAAATAATCAACAACCGGCTCAGTGAGGCAACCCCCCAAACGCCTCGAAACTGAGCATTATCTCAATTCTGGGCAAACCCCGGACCAAAGCATGCCACAAGATCATTGCAGGGTCGTGCCAAAAAAAAACATCCCGAAAGCCTGCATCAGCCGCAATTGTCCTGCTCAGCTCAATTTCCTCACATCCATATCCAAAACCTGCCTTCGCGCCAAATTAAAAGCAGGTGACTCGCGAATGAGCTAAAACGTCCAAAGCGGTGCTTCAGATCCTCAAGGGCTCCACCAAGTACCAAACACAAAGTGGCAAGATGTGGCAAGCTGAATAGTTTACTAGTGGAGGCCTCTGGTTTGAGGACCCGCAGCTGTCACACACATTTGCTCACACCTAGACTCTCCAAACAAGCCCGCGGCATCTGGAAGACAGAGCCGCGCTTTGCCAAGTACACCAAGGTTAAAAAGGCAAAGCAGTTGGCTCATCGGATGTTTATGAAATCCTCTGCCGGGGTCTATGGTCAACCCCGCCCAGGCCAGTGTCCACACAGGCCCCCAAGGCAGATGCAGCAAGCAGATTTCCTACTAATCCCAGGATCTTCCCACACTTAGATTCACGCCAAAAGATGACTTGGGAGCTGGCGCAAAACCCGGTCTATCTGGACTCTTCGTCCGCGCTCATAGAGCATCGGGGGCCAGCTGGAGGCTCACGTAAAGTGCAAACATATTGTTTACCTGCGAAGTCTTGTCATGAACCTCCAGGCAGAAATAGATTAGCTTGGCTCAGCAATGAGGGGGCATCATGCCTGGCCACGTGGCCACGAGTGAGAATCCGTGGTCATCTTTGCACGAAGGGTGGGGAAACCATGTTCTAACAAGGTTGAGCTCCTTCCAACCATGGATGCAAGCTGCACTCCAGTTTTGATGCCGCATGCCTGAAGCTTCATGTGACCAGGCATGGACAGCTTGGCGTTTTGCCGGGAGTGCCCAGCAACTAATGCCGAGGGCAATGAGAGAAAGTCTATGTTCAAACATCCAACAGCCGGAATTCTGTTTTGCACGAGTTGTCACCAAGCTGCTGACCGTTCTTCCATATTCGTGCTTGCCTGCCCGTCTTGAACAGCACTTCACGCTTTTTTGTAGACCACTCGCAGAAAGGGAGCACCCTGAGACCCTTCCCAAACATATGACCCGTGCGGCTGGCGGATGCGCCTTGAACTCCTTCAGGGCCCTCAGTGCCGGCGCAGAGGAGCGCGATGCGCGCAGGAGGGCATGGAAGTCCTAGCGCAAGGAACGCTTGTATTGCAATGGCCCCTGGCATGTGGGCGTTGGAATGCGGCTAACCCACGAATGCCAAGCCTTATGCAAACCAAAGGGAAGGAGAGGTCAACTTACTTTGAGATTCGTCCGTTTCCCCATTGCCGCGTCCTTCGCAAGGATCTGCTCCAGATTGGGCACGTCGCAGCTGAGATCCGGCGCCATCTCCGAGACAAAGAGCTGCACCGCCTCATCCAGGGCCTGCGGCTGCCAGCCCGCGCCTGGCATGGACTATGCGGGCATCCGAGGTCCGAGAATCGGAAAGGGGGTTCGGGCCACGTGCTAAGCGGTTGCCCTGCTCGCCCACCACCGGCCGCCGCTCGCCTGCCGCGACTGCCAGCAGCATTTTGAAGCCTGACTCGCGCACGGCAGCGCCCTCCTGCGGTGCTGTTGCTAGATTCCAGTTGCGCCCGGGGCTGCGAAGGCGTGCGATAGTGATCGTTAGTGCATGTCAAATGATGGTTGCACACAGAAGAAATACAAAGCAAAAGCATGGCAAGCTTGCATTTTGGACAGGACATGTGTAGAATGCCAATGAGGGTGTTAGTTGAAAAAACAAGTCTTTGACACCACCTCCCTGGAGCCAGCTGGCAAGCAGACTGAACTACGCGCACTTCCACTTCAACTTCGCCAAGCTTCTCGGGATTGCTCTTGCCAAAAGCCACACTTGCCCAAAGTAAACATGAATCGAGCATGGCATGTAGCAACTGCCTACCAGAGCCATGAGAAACTTTCTCACAACAATTAGTTGCGACATGCTAAACTTGGTTGCATTGCTTCAGCCCACCGCCCTGCTAACAAAACAACTTAATAAACCCAGTGCTGCATAACAAGTCAAAAGACAGCCCTCAGCCTCAGCTGCTCCTGAACCACGTTGGCCAAGACTTCGGCCAGCTCAGCTGCTTGCTTGGCAGCCTGGGGTTGTAACGAAATGCAGCGGTGCTGGATGCACTGACGAGCGTCTCAATAGATTTGCCAGCAGCAGTCCAACTTGCTTGCGTCCATGGTCCTTGTGTCCCTTGCTTCACGGCAATTTGGGCAGACTTAACAAGCCATGCTGGGCAACAACAGGCCCATCGCGCAGGCAAAGAAGAATTATGAGCAACATGGAGACGACTTTAACCGCAGCACCTGGGACGATTTGGTATAGCTGCCCGCGGGGAACAATGCAAAATATACAAGTCTATTTCAGTCTATTTGTGAGTGTTTTTTTCGCACAGGCCATGCTGGCGATGCGGACTGCACTTGACAGCGTGGAATGCGTATTGCCAATTGTTGGGCGGATTGGCCAAACCCTTAGCGGGCCTAAATGTGTTGCACAAAAACTGTTTACATGCTTTAGCGCAAATTCAAAGCCTCTCACTTACCCACACTCAAACTCTGGAAACCCATGCTGCTCATCAAGGCAGCAGCCCAAAACCTGTTCCCTAATTTTCTTGATGAAACCTCTTAAGCCAGGCTTTGTCCCCCCAAACAAGGAGCATGACTAACTGGTTGTTCCTTTCCAACACGATTCTTAATTGTTCACTAGTATGCCCTCAGTATGTTCATACCGTAGATTCTTCGTACCTGTCATCTTTGCAAGCTGTCCACACCAAACCTCACCCGCCTCTCGGGGCACGCCCTGGGCGCCAATGCGCCGCGCCGCCTCAGCGTCGTCCTTGCTGAGACGCAGCTCGCGGAGGGCGCGCTGCGCAGCATCCCGGAACTTCTCCTTCCGAAGGAGACGGGGCGTGACTGGAGCCGCTGAGGCAATTGTCTCGGAAATTTAGCGCGCGGCGCCAAGGCCAAAACCATGAGAGACATGAACAATATGGCGGTACCTCGGAGTGGTCAAGAATTTGGGCCAGCAAACCTCAGAACTTATCAAGGTAAAATCCGCTCAGTGTCATGCGAGGGGGGGTGGGGGGTGGGGAAGGCACGTCCGTTGTCACTAAACGGAGTGTGTTGCATGATCACATGCTAGAGGCCAAGCTCAAAAGATCCAACAATAGCAACAATTGGTTCATCTTGACCAATGCAACTTTGGCGTGGCTCAATTCCGCCAGGAAGAGGTAGAAGCAAGCGAGCAGGAGCCAAAGGTGACCACAATAGTGACCAAGTGGCCTGTTGCAGGGCCCAGACCGGAGCAGCAGCATTTGGGATAGAGTAGACTTTCTTTGTGCTATTGGAATGCGAATGCTTGGCTGTGAGTCATCCTGCGTGTGGTATTTGATAAGTACCATGCAATGCAGTCTCGTCAATTGAAAGATGCTGACAGGGGCGAAGCCACATTTTAGCACCTAACGGCATTGTGTTCATTTCAAGCTTTGTTGTGCTTCTTGTCGCCTGCCGTTGCTGCGGCACAGTTGGCCTTGAAAGTGGCTACCTGGCTGAATGCTGACTGCATCTGCTGACCAACGGCCTTCTGTTACACGAAGCTGCTTTAAGAGACGGCATTTCATTTTTTTGCTTTGCACCTTCTCGTTTTAGAGGACTCTATACAACCCCAAGTGTCTCCTGGTCGAAGGCTGGCGCCACCATGCGCATTGCCTTGGGCTTCACCTCCTTGCCGGCCGCGCTCTGCGCCACCTGGGGCACAAGTGAAGGAAAGCAAGCAGTCACGATTTCTTCCACAAGCCAAGGGGGCTGCTTAATGCTTCCGGGGGCAATTGGCCCTCAAAGTTTTGTTCCCGCGTGCACTCTGCCTGTGCCAGGGTCATGGCCCGCTCCATCTTCTTGGGCCGCTTGTCCACCCACGCGTTGGCCCTCAGCTCCAGCAGGTCCTGGTTCGAAGCCGTTTGTGCAGGCGATCAGGCACGTCTAAAAAGTTGGGCTCAGAAGTCAGGCTGTAAAAATGAGGGCTGCATGGAAAAGTGCTCTGCCAGCCCTTGTCAGGGCCTGGCCCGACATGATCGTCCCCGTGACCTGCCCGCCTTGAGCAGGCAACGCTCTCTCGGCTGACACTTGGACATCTTCACAATCAGAGCGATGCGCTCAAAAATGGCGTTCCTTGGCAGAAGTGGGAATGCTTGGGCGCGCACAGCTGGCCCTGAATTGGTACGAGTTGGTAGCTTACTTGGATGTTGCGCTGCCTTAGAAGCATCAATGAAAGCTGCACATTCTACCAGTAAGGTGATCTTTGGCAAGCTGCAGGCCCCCGAGGCGAATGCACATTTAAGAATTCCATCTGGGTGTGGCGCAAAAGGCCTGGTTCCACGCGAGAATGATGCACTACAGAAGCGGCATTAACTACCGACGCCGCATTAACTACCAACTCAACTGGAGCAGCAAGGATTGCCAATATGCCACTGGGCAACAAAGCATCGACATGCGGAAAGCGTAAGTTGTGCCACCATCAGGGGCGCCGCAAAACAAACATACCTCTTCAAGATTCCATGTTCCATGATCAGGCTTCTTTTGGGGCAAAGCCGTGGCTGTTTCAGCAAAGCGCGTCCTCTGCTTATCCATTCTTTTAGTGGCTTGCGTACGGCATTGCGTGGCCCACAACTGCCCCCGGAAGTCGAAGGCAAGGCGCAGTGCCACTTTCTGCGGCCAGTCCGGGCGATCAGCCGTGGGGCCCATTGCGGTCAGCAACGCGGCAGCGGACTCCAAGGCCTGGCGAGAAGCGTCATCTGAGGGGAAACGCAAAGGGGTAGCATTTGCAAACATTCAAAAAACTACATGGAGAGACACTTAGTCTAGACTCCCTTTCTTGTGCGTCGTGGCATGTTTTGTGAGCTCCTCTGCACCAAATCTAGGAACCAACTGTATTTAATCGAGGCCCCGGTTGGAGAGCTTCTCGCGACAATCATCAAAGAAAAAATGGGTCCCGATTTGTTTTGGGCATTTTTCCTTTTCTTTTTAACACTTTTGTTCTTCTGGATTTTCTGTCTTGGAACTGGCAGGTGCGATCTCCCTTGGTTCTGCTGTGGTTTGACTCGTTTTGCACCAGCGCTGTCAACATCCCCGGAATCGCTTTTCTCGGCCGCATCCTTTTCAACATCCGCAGCATCACGAGTTGGATTTGTTAGACTGGGTTTAGGGTGGGTTTAGGTCGGCTGGGCTTGGTTCAGGGTGGGTCCCAGGCTTGTTTAGGGCAATTTTGGGGGTGGCTGCTTTAGGTACTGGGATGGTTTAGTGCTGGTTTATGGTGGGTTTCTTGGGGTTTGGGGTTTAGGGTGAGTTTAGAGTTGGTTTAGGCTGTGGTTGTGTTTAGGTGGGATGGTTTAGTGTTGGTTTCGTTTGTTTGGGGGGGGGTAGGGGGCGGTAGGTGTCGGGTGTGCTTTGGGTTTGTTGAGGGTGGGTTTAGGGCGGGTTTAGTTTGGGTTTAGTGCTGGTGTATGGGGGTTAGGGATTGGTTTTGGGGTTGGGATGGGTGTCGGGATTGGCTTAGGGTGGTTGGAGTTTAGGGTTGGTTTAGGGTAGGTTTAGAGTTGGTTGAGGAATAGTCTGTTGCTGGTTTAGAGCAGGTTGTCTAGGGGTTTCTTTGGGGAGTCTTGCTGGTTTAAGGTTACTTTAGGGTTTCTTTAGGGTGGGCTTAGGTGGTTTGGTTTTAAGGTTGTTCCAGTTTTAGTGGTGGTTTAGGGGTGGTTTTAGTGGCGGCTTAGTGTTGGATGCGGAAAGTTGAAGCCAAAAAGCCAAAAGCCGAAAAACCAAAAAGCAAAAAAGCCAAAAGCCAAGAAACCCAAAAGTCACAAGCCAAAGCCAAACAGCCCAGACTCCAAGAAGGCAAAGGCCAAAAAGCCAAGAAGCCAAGAAGCCAGATAAGGCAAAATCCAGGAAAAAATCCTAAAGAAAAACGGCAAATCCCAATAATAGCCCTCCAAAGTAAATTCTTGCACATGAATTCGTTGGACAAATCACGGGGGACTCGGCACTCTTTCACTTGACTAACAAGGTGGTCCTGTTAAACATTAACTGGCGACGGTTGATATGCACCCGCTTCTTTCTGTGTGGGGCGGCCAAAGAGAAAGTCGCCGGCCCAGCAAGAGGCCCTCTAAAGCGGAATTGATCGACATAGACTGGCCATGTTGTTCTCTTGCCACTGTGGCCCCTGTTCATAGATGCCGTTGCGTTCAATCAAGCATAATCCGACGAGGAAAAGCCACGGCTGCATCGTCGCAAGGCTCAAAGAGAGGGGTGATATGGTGTGGGCTTCCCGTAAGGCTGCATCAAGTCTTAGCTTGCTTGGGGCTCAGGAACGGCATGGGAACACGAGCGCACAGCGTTTGCAATGATTTTTGTTTTGGCATGGGGCTCCAACACTGCCAGCCCTACAATTGGCTGCCGGTCCCTTTGATGTACGCATTTGCCCAACAGCGGCATTCAGAACGCTCATAACTGCTCTCATCAGAGGCAAACTTCCCTGAATATGCGCCAACGTGCCAGGCCCTGCAATGCAGCTTGTCATGAGCTATCCTCTACGGCAAATGTTCTTCAACAACAACTCGAAACTCCAGAGGTGAAAAGTGCTCTGGCCACCATCTGGAATCCTGGCCCCGTCAGCGGCCGCCTCGGCAGTGGGGTTGGAGAGGAGCTCCTCCAGGATCGCGATGCCGACCTGCGCGGGCAAGTCTTTATTGACATGGAGCGTGGGCTCCCCGAGGCACCCCTCTTGTGCCGCAATGAAGCGAAGTGCCGATCGCGGATCTAGTCCATTTGAGTCACGAGCCCGTCTTACTTGCTAGATCAGTGGTATCAGGGCTTCCTTCCAGCAAATCAAGCTTCAATTTTGCCACTGCTGGCCGGCCTTGCTGGCCAACATGCCACGGGACAGGAGCCCGCCCACAAGCTTGATGTTGCCCAGCATGTGCGTCTTGTAACCTGGGCACTCTTGCCAGAGGAAAACGACTGAACAGACGGCGGACAAAGCACAGGTTGCGAACCCTGACGGCCTGAGGGCCCGATACAATGCACAATAATACACACCTGCCAGCGCAAAGTTGCTCGATTTCCGTCTGCAGATTCTGCCCAGCCGCGCACTTCTGCAATGGTCCGTGCTTCTGGCTCCAGATCGTCCAAGCCAGCAGGCGGAGAGAGAAGACGCTCAAAGGAGGACTGACATTCGTCCAGCAACCTTGGCGACATTTGTTCCAAATCTGATCGTTGGCAACTGCTTTTACTACAAGAGCTGCGCACGAAGTTGTTTGAGGCACACCAAGTTGCTAAGTTGCCGAATTGCCCCTTATGATTTGTGCGGCCCCCTGGCCTTGTCCAAATGGGGGCCCGCCGCTGTGCTTTCACCAATGCACGGCGTGCAAGTCTTGAGGGCATACAATAGCAAGTGCAACTAGGCAAACAGGATACAACGAGGCTTTCAAGCTCTGTTGCATTTGCCAAGGTCTCCCTTCCACCTGAAATCTTCAGAGCTGTGTGCTTAGCTCTCACGGGCGGTCCACACTCGGGCATCGGCAACTCAAAGTACCGATTGCCGTGGCCCGCCGGACATGCCATCCGAGAAACAGCCGCTTGAAGGTCAGCTTCTTGCTGCCCTCCTTGCAGTCTTCGAATGGCTCGGTCAAGAAGTGCTCATGGAGCAGCACGCAAAGGTCAGCGTACATATCCTCAGCACACAGGTCTGCGCAAGAGCTCGCGCGATTCTTGTGGCCAGTGAATGAACCCTTCGAGTAAGAAAATAACCCGACAAAGGTGGAAAGAGGCTGCGTCTTCCAAACAACTGCCGACGTTCCAATGCCCCAAGTTGGGAAGATTTCTCGAGGTATGTGGCAGGACCCCTTCGTGCCCAGCTTCGATGAAGTGGTGCTGCGAGGTCGCCTTTCCAAAAACCTGCGCCGGGAAGTTGGGCCGGGAAGTTATCGCAGTGCCGGTTGCGGTGCGATTCGGCTCTATGCGAGAAATATCACCTAAGGCCTTGAAAATTGCCCAGTACAACTGACTAACTACAAATGGTAGCTGCATGACACGCAGTTCATGCCCGTGCTGCTGCGTCATGCAGTTCTAGGTTGAAACGCAACTTGCATATCCTTGTTGATGAAAGCACGCTAGTTGTTGACAGCCTGTTGCCAGTGCAAATGCCTCATGGATCAAGATCTCCACATGGTCAGAGTTGCAGATGCCGCAGTCCAGAAGCTGCTGCGCGAGGCTTGCAAACCTTGCACTCTGCAGGGCAGCTGCTTGCATGCGGCAAAGATGCACCAAACATCGGCAATTCCTGGCAGCCAATCTGTCCGAAGTCTTGGGAAATCCCTGCGGCTGATTTCCCAGCAGAAATCATTAGGAGTCATCAATGGTGGGCTTCGGGTTGGTGTGGGTCGGTTTTAGGGTGGGCTTAATTAGTGCTAATGTAGAGGGCTCAGCCCATGGCAGGGAACCGTGCCACTTCCTTGCACAACAAGTTGCACAACCCAATTGCGCGGCCATGTCTCTTTTCCAGCGTCAGCTTGTTGAGAATGGACTTGATGCTTCGGGCCACTTGCCTCAGTCTCGGCGCAGCTCGTGGAAGGACATAACCCGGGTCAGTGGTCCAGCTTTCAGAGTTTCAGCGAAGCCACTCTGTGGCATCAATGGCCTCGGACTTGACGCGCCTGCGCCAATTCGTTGTGGCAAACCTGTGAAGTGTTGGGACCTGACTGCCTCCTGAGGCAGTAAGGTCTCAGAATTTGCAGCTTATCCACTGACAAGTGAGTGAAAGCGGCTCTGGCCACATTGACATAAGTCCAGGCCTGCGCTGGGCTGCCCAGGAGTTCTCTGAAACGTCCAGTTTGCTCTTGGTCCTTACCACGACGCCAATGTCATGCAAGCTCAGTACTGCCCGGAGCAAAAAAGTATACGGTCAAACCCTTCACTGGGGCCCCAAGTAAGCAATTACTGTCAATAACTGTTCCATGTTCTGTCCTGCCGCGGCTGCCTGCGTCCGCCTGCCGGCAACCGTGCTCTGCCAGATTCTGCAAGCAACCATCCAAGCGTGATTTCTGACCCTCGTGATGGATGATCAAGAGAATACATGTCGGCCCCGGATTAATCAACCGGGGTGGATCTGGAAGAGAAACAAACACATCGCAGGCCCCAGAAGTTGTGCAACGCGAATCCTGGCCTTTGGTTGCGGCTGAGGCGACGGGGGCTCTTCCTGTTTGACCGCCATTGTGCGGTACCTTGAGGCAAATCACTTGCCTACCCTACGTAATACTCAGCTCACCCTGGCAACTCGAAAAGGAGGCATGGCTTAAGCGGGTTGGGATCCAGAGAACTGCTGCCCGGCCACAGCTTCAGTGGTTCCTGATGCTGAAGTGCTTCGCGCAAGGTCAGCAGACGCCTCCCACTCTGGCCAAGCAGTTGGCGGCATCTGTGCGCTGACCTTTTTTTCCCGTGTCTGGGCTGCGGGGTCGACTCTGACACCTCTTCCCCAAACCGCCTGGCTGGGGGCCTTTGCAGGACATAGGCAGGACATAGGCAGGACATAGGCAGGACATAGGCAGGACATAGGCAGGACATAGGCAGGACATAGGCAGGACATAGGCAACCCCGGCTGAGCCTGATATCATAGACAGTATCCGAGTCCATTTCGTCACTGAACTTGTCAGCGGTGTCCACTTCTTCTCCCTCTGGCTCAGAGGAGGCGCTGCCTCGGTGGGCGAAGTGCCTGGTGCACTTGCAATCAGTTCCCTCCACCCAACGAGCATTCCAAACGTTGACAAATGTGGGGATGGACGACAAGAAGACGCCACGAGCGAAACCGTCGTGGAGTAACAGTAGCTGGACCTAGCATCTAGAAGCTGCGACGAACTTCGGCACAACTTGCAACAACAGCTGCGAAGTCTGCCCTGGAGCATCCTGAAACAAGCCATCAGCATCAGATTGGCACTTGCTGGGGCCTGACGCATTTGCTGAACCCTCCCCTATTTCCCCTGAGGCCCTGCAGCCGTAGCGCTGAGGGACACCACGGACACGGTCTCATCCTCGCGCAACGCACGAAGGCATGTCCCAAGCAAAATGCGTCACAGGTCGTTAGGATCGATGCAAGCGCTCTGGAGCAAGGCAAAATGCTTCCCCAATCGAGCTTTGTTCGAACTGTGATTGCCAGCAATGCGCAAAGGGTTGGGAAGTGTTCAGCCACCACAACTGCTTTCAACAGCCCAAACGCCTCGAAATTGCTCTGCGTCAATCCTGAGGTAGCACCTGGACGGCCGCTGTGCGAAACGAAGATGACCTATTGTCATTAGCCTCCCCTGCATCCAACTCCAGTTTCCCTTGCAGGACAGGCGGACATCCACTTGAACCAAAAACGTAAACCGTAAATGCACAGACAATGGCTACATCCCCGTGGCTTGCGGCAAAACATTGCGGGAGGGCAGCACTGGGGGGTTTAGATGCCTGAAGTCAACCAGCGTCAGCGAAGAGCGACCTAGACCGCTGAGACCAAAGCTTCAATTGGAAAGGCTCGCAAGCCATTTCAGCAAAAGGGGAGCTTCTGGCGACGAACCTCCTTGCTTGCGCTCACTGTGCTTGGTGAGGTTTACTTCTGATCGCTCCAGGTCTGCCCTGTGCAAAAGCCCACATCTAAGATGTCTCAACATCCTGCGTGTCTTGCCGAGAACGTGCGGCTGCAAGTCTCAAACCGACTCTTGGAAATGCGTGGGTAATAGTCATGGAAACACGAGTTGATCGTGGCTGTCCAGTCGAAGTTTGCCTTTTCAGATTCTTGCCCCGGCACGCCATACTGTTGACGGACAAAATCTTGCACCGCGTTCGCCATGGTTTACAAACGCCCTGGCACTCGGCACTCCCCATTTAACATTGGACATTTAAGGGCCCTTGGTTGCAAACATGCTGCAATGACCGCAATCCTGCACCACGTGTTGTGAATGTGAACAACATCGCAAAGGGGAAGCGGGGTGCGTGGTCTGTTCAGTGGCAACTGGAGCCGCCCGTCAACCGCAGTTTCACACGATCAGTGCTGCCGCAGGCACAAGGCGAGGGCTCCTCTGCTGGCTCCACAGACTCTGGCAACTCCGTGACCTGATGCCCGGCGTTGCCACCCAACTGGGCTGGTGAACGTCGGAACAATTCATGTCTGTCTTCGTTTGATTCATCTTGCAGTTTCCAAAAATCACCCTTGGTCGCGTGTGGACAAGGACCCCACCCCTTGGTTTTGGAGTGGGCACCCTTGACCCATCCCGCCTCACTAATAATGAGCTTCGCAGATACTTTCGGCGCGTCATCGTCAGAGTCGGAATCAGAGAGGTCCTCAGCCGCCGTCCACTTGCTTGAGAGGTGCCCCGGTGTCCCACAAAATCCCTGTAGCTCGCACACAGGTCCTGTTCAGCCGAAGCCGCGAAAAGGAATCAAGCACCCGTCTTCAGCTTTTCAACTGTCAGCTCCAGCAACTTCAGCAGGCCAGCAACAAGGTTGCCCAAAAGTATAGCAAACGGGTGAGTTCGGTTCAAAAACAACAACAACAACAACAACAACAACAACAACAACAACAACAACAACAACAACAACAACAACAACAACAACAACAACAACAACAACAACATGAGACAAACCTGTCCAACTGCATCGCAACATGTAGGCGCCCGATCAATCCCGAACTGTGCCAGGCTGCTGAAAAGTCATCGAGATTCAAAGCGCTCTCCTTGCAGTAAGTGGAGGTGAAGCTGCCCGAGTTGGTGTTGGTGTAGCCATTGCCTTGAATGAAGCAACCAAGTCAAAGCAGCATCTCATTTTTGGAACAGACCCTTGAGGTTTCACGACGTGGAAGCAATGGTTCACATAAACGCCTCAAAGGTGTTTAAACCATGCATTGGTGTGTCAACACAAGCGCTTCGAGGCGGCCACTGGCCGGCGCCTTCCAACCCAACAGAAATCCTTTCCCCCTAATCAATAATACCCCCCCCCCCCACAACAAAAAAAACGAAAAAAAACTTGGAGTGAATTGTTTGCTAGAAATTGGAAAAAGGGACCCCTTTGATTGGCAAAATTGGTTTCAGAATGCAACTGACTCTCAAACCACAAAACAAATCAACGCTCGCACAAGGCAGCCCTTTTGAGCATTGCTAGGGTGGCCCTTCTGGGGAGCAAGTATCGCAATTTGGCGGGGTCTCCCTGGAGGGGTTTTGACTTTTAGGGGATCGTTTATTCATACAAAGAAGGGGTTGCGCTTTTTTCATCCAAGTATCCACCAATCATGTAGTAGGGACTCATGTTGGCTTGCACCTGTGCACCGTAGCAGTTGACTTGATAATACTCACCATTGCCGTAGCCGTTGTTCTGGTAAAACTGCTCGCCATAGCCATAGCAAGTGTTCTGGTACTCCTGCGATTCCAGTGAAGCCTGATCGGTGAGTCTGGCTGGATCTTTTGGTGCACAAAACTTCTACTCCACCTTCTGCCTTGTGTCAAGTTCTCTTGGCGGATTTGCTCTGGTGCAACTAGCCACGGGCCCAACCCCCCCGCTACAAACTCTCGGCCCCGATCGACCAAACATGCGAAACATGATTAGCGAGGTCTCGCGATTATAGTTTCCCGCCTGGGGTGCGAACACTGGGGCCGACGAGGAAAGGGCAGATGATTTCGCAAACATTTCCGGTATCGATTTCTTGATGAGCGCAGGACCTGAGCATGATGCAGCTTGCCAAATCGGGCACCCCGCATGGCCCCCGACAAGCAGCATGCCAACGGCATCGGGACACGGGCCAAACTCGCCCTTTAAGCCCTCTGAGCATCGGGCAGGACAAGCCAGTCTAGCGCTTTGCTGCAATTATGTAACGGGAGAGGGTTGACGGATCTGTCAAGCCAGAAAGCTGCGGGCAGGCGACAAGAACATGTAGCGGCAAACTGGTGGAACCTGACGGCGAACGCTCGGATAAGTTGAAACCAGCAAAAATGATCGAACCAAGCTGACAAACACTTATCCTCTGCTTGGCATATCAACAGCCAGCTCATAGAAGTTGACAGCTAATTGCGACAACTAAACTAACGTGGAGCCATGGACAAGCAACTGCAGAGCCGCACGGCTGTCTGGAAAGCCACTGGTTAGAATGGGCCCGGCCAACATACGTTTGCATCAACACTGCGAGCCCTTCCTCTTGCTGACAAGCGGCAGGGCGCCACCTCCGAGGAAGTGCCATAATCAAAGAGCTTGAAGCCCCGAGTCTGGTGCTCCTGGGTGTGTGTTGCTTTGTTGAGAACATTTGCCATATCCGGTACATCAAACAGATCCAGTTTCAAGTATAATGGACGTTTGTGTCTTATTTGGTTAGATTGTAATATATCTGTACATCTCTCTCTCTCTCTCCAGCATCCTCGAGCAGGTCTCGCTCGTCCCAGATCAGGGATGCGGAAAACAGGCAGTGACACAGGAAGCTCATTCAGAGTCAGCGGCAAGCCAATGCCTTACCTGACTCTTCAACCTAGCTACCCATGCCGGTGGAGCACAGATATATATGCACACATATTATTTACAAAGATGGAAATGGTTTGAAGAACATCGACGAGGCCATTAAAATTATGCTCTTGAAACGAATGCAAATGATAAAGCTGTTACATATACACATGCTTACAGAAACTAAAAACAGACAATTCAATAGAAATCAAGCATGGCTAGCACCAGGTGTGCTCGTTGTGGTTGGTGCGGGGTGAATCCTGCCTCGCAGGAAACCCAAGGGCAATGGTTCAACAGCGTCCTGTCTCGCAATGTGCATCACTGTAGATGACATTGGGAATATGACCTTGGCTCATCACTGCCCCTCATCCCGCGTGGACGGCGAAGTGGGCCGCGAAAATATGTTGTAGACTTGGCCATGGGATAGGCTAAAGACAACCGACGATGTCTTCTGGCTTCCGCTTGTGGCCAGAAAGCACTTATCCGTATGCCCATCATTGCCCATCTATGAACAGCGCCACACAGTGCAGGCAGGGCGCCAGAACCCAAGGCCCTCGCTGCAGGATGTGCTTCACCTCAGATGACAGCACTATAGCTGGCCTCCCGATTGCCCCAGCTGCCAAACATCCAGGCACGCGACCGCCCCAAAACGCCCTAAAATGCGCAAAATGCCCAAGCCTCCAAGCCTTTACCCTGTGAAACGTGCTGTGCCAGGTAGCATTTTGGGCATTCTTCCTGTCCTGAGCTGCGCTTGCCACAACTCATGAGGCTAGTTGGCTTTTGCGGCCAGAAGCTGTGCTCTTCTCACATGCTTCTCGCTTGACAGCCACAACTTGCCAGCAAATGCCAGAAACGCCACTGTCGACTGCAACCCCTTCCAAAGGTGCGGAATTTGGGCCCAGATTCCCAGCTTCGGAAGTTCACCGCCACGCTCTGCTGGTGCGGCGGCTCCAAATGCCAGCCTCCCACCAGCCGGGGTTAACCCACTCGTGCAGTGCGAAAGTGCGCATGTCCACTTTGATTTAGTCGATTCAATATCAGTTGCATGCAGATTCCTTGTTCCGGGCCAGTATGTTTGTGTGCTTGTGTCATTGTGTGTACATATGAATTTGTACATTGACATGTGTCTATGTGTGCGATGTGTGCAACGAGTCGGCCAATCAGTAAATCAACTGACCTATCAACTAAGTAATTGTGTGTGTGTGTGCGTGTGTTTGTTTGTTCGAGGTGCAAGTGGCCAAGCTCAAGCACTTTGTTTGGCTGTTGATGAGGCATATGTATTTCAGGCAAATGCAGTGCTTCTGTTATCCATGCTTTTTCGCCAAAACTATCAGGAATGGGAGTGGTTGTCCTCGAAAGTGGTTTAAAACTGAAGTGATCGCAACATTCCGATGTTCTACAAGGATTTCCAAGCACCAAAGTCACACTAAGTTGTCCCATATTTGTGCTGACATGTGTCTTTTTCTCAAGCAGGTGAGCGGCACTGCACTTAGAGGCTGCTAGCGAACAGCAATGCTATGACCTAATTTTTCCCAAACATCATACTTGGCGCTGTACTGCGTCAGAGCTGACATCTCAGACTTTGCACCATTGGCTTATTTTCACTGTTCTGGAGACTCGTCGGAGGGCTGGCTCCAACAACAGGATGAGGGTTTCGCCGAGCTGATGTTCTGCTTGTTGTTTCCTATGCCACCAACCCTTCTGCATGACAGAACGAAGGCAGCCCAGGCTCGTCAACGACCCAGCCAGGCCTTTGCACAGGTCTATGAGCGTTGCGTAGCAAATTTCCTGATCCAAATACAGGCCTGGCGGCTGCGTGGTACGTCTATCTTTGTCTGTGTCAAGGAAACTTGCTCGACTGCGCAGGTGCCCTAGGCCAAAACAAAGACTGGTGAAAGCGATGCTGGAGGAAGTGCGGTCAAGTTGAAGGCTCGTTTCAGGGCTTGACTTCAGGAACCAAACGCATGTGCAGCATTTTGCAGCTATGTCTAGTTAACAGAGGCAATTTTCGATGCCGACTGCTGCCTTCAGCCTCCTGCTAGGGCATACTCCTGCCTCGGACGCCCTCGTCAGAAAAGGCCGCCAGAGTCTCTGCCTAGGGTGGAGGCCAAGCCATTGTCCAGGTTGATTATAGTAGCCTATGACTCTATGACCTATGTGGGACTGCCATCAGGAATCCGCAAAACAACACAGACTGACTTTCACACAACTGGGGTCATGTTGGGTCAGATCATCACACAACGCATGCTTGGTTGCAAAGCCAAACTATACTTTGCGTGGGAAACATACCAAACACGTATTAAAACGTTACACAACTGTGCGAAAGCTGCACAAGCAGTGCAGCTGGCTCACAAGCGTGCGATTCGGGATGCCCATCTCTCCATGCTCAATTGTGGTATGTTCCGAAATTGCCTGGCTCTGGGGAAACGCAAACTCATGCCTGAGATGCAGAACAGTGCATTTGGAGCTATTCAACAAAGCTCATCAGACTGCAACAATTCCCTGGCCTGATGCACAGTGGCAGGAATGTCAAGCAAAATATCGTGCAAGCCAAGCTTACACTGCATCTTGATTAAAGGCACGCCAATGCTTGCAAGTAATCCGCCACGATCGATGGCCTGGACACTTATGACTTATGATCCGCGCTTCCTGGTAGCGTCCCCTTGGCCCAGCTAAACAGATCCTGAAGCCAGGTTGCCTGTCCGTCTTGGAAGTTGTGCAACATGACCTGGAATTGGGGAGGGCTCTTGCCGGGCACGCTCGGAAAGGCTTGCGGCAGCCCTGCTTGGCGAAAACCCCGAAGTTGTGAAAAAGGACTAGCAAGCCGCAGTCGCAAAACAGTTTGCGGAGCCCAGATGCCTTGCCCAGCATGGTGCCGGCCATGCAGCCAAAGTCCTTGGCGTGCATGTCTAGAGATGCCATGCCCTTCCGCGCAGGCTGCGGTTGAAGAAGGACCCATATTGTTCTACCAAAAGGAGACTGTTTCTCTGTCCCTTCCACAGCTACGTGCAACCTAACAAAATGCTGGAAATCGCTACGGTCTCTGCGGTTGGAAGGCCAAGCGCTCCAGTTGCACGGCCTAACCCTGCTTTCAAACTTGCCCCCTCAGCACACAGCCGTTATCAATTTTCATGGGGCCACGCCGCGTGGTCTCAGCCCCAAGTCCGAGCTGCATTGACAAAAACACATGAAACGGGATCGCCCAGGTCCGTCTGGAACAAGAAGCTGCTCCTCGCCAATTGCGATCTGCATACGAAGAATGCTAGCGGCTAGCAATGCACCTACAAAACACTTCATATCAAACAAAATTCCCGCTAAGATGAACTCAACGTTGTCCATTGGTGCGTGAAAAGTCACACGTCAGCCGTCAACCAAACATTCTACCCACCCGAGCAAGAGATGTGAGGCAGAAATGTGTCGAAACAGCTGGAATGCCCGCATGCTTGGAACCCCGGTGCCATGCATATGCACACGAGTTGCGCAGCCGGCCTTGGCATGCTCTTGTTCCAGCCAACGGCTACCAAACCATCGCCTCGGATTGACCCATGCGCGTCTGCATGGAACGCTTCCCTTGTTTTTACGCAAACACCTCTTTTGGCGTGCGCTGGCTGCAGCCGTGCCGCCGCCCTTTTCAGGTTGGATAGAAAGCAGGCGGGCCCGCTTGTTCACAAGAATTACACATTCACACTGGTATGCATGCCACATCATGCTACTTATTGCAAGGACTTGCTGTTTGCACGACTCGGCACACAAGTTGCACGATTGCTTTAAACGGAGGCTCCGAGGTCTGCGAGCAACATGCAAGGTGCGAGTCGCCGGACCTGTACTTCCCTCCGAAGCCTCCAGAATTCTAGGATTTAATGCCCATCTCCTCCTTTCGCCCTTTCCTGGACCCTTACCAGCCGGGCTGGTAAATTCAAAGCCCGAAGCCCAGGACCTGGAGCCAAGGTGCCGGAAGTTGACTTGACATGGGTGCTAGGCTTGAGCCAGGCCCACAAGATCGCAATGCCAGCTGGCAGGTAGCCGAAGGCGCTGGGTGGCTGTTTCACCAGACTGTCGGAAAATGTGAATGAACAAGCAACCGAACCAATCACGATTTGGCATGCAACCCATTCAGCTTGATGCTCGGCCCAAACGAGCTGCTATGGTGTCTTGCTGCGTTGCATTGAGAGAAAATAACTTCGCTCCGAAGTAATTCATTCCCAACGTTTGCGGGCCGCCCCTGCCGGCCCAATACACGGACCCGACATGCTAAGTCGACAGGGCCCAAATAATTGAGTCCCATGCATCTGCAAGCAAAAGCCACCTGCAAGTAGGTCAATCGAGCAAGCAGGGAAAGAAGTGTTGACACTGCTATCCTTGTGTAAGAAAGACGCGCTCCCCAAACGAACATAGCCGGCCCTGCCCAGCAGCCCA